AATTCTCCAGAAGAAGAGATAAATGAAATAGAGATAAGAAATTTATCTGATATAGAGTTCAGAATAATGATGGTAAAGATGCTCAGCAGCATGAGAAAAGATATAATAACTATGAAAAAAAGAACAGTCAGAAATAAAGGATGACATAGCACTAATAAAGAACACATTGGAGTGAATACACAGCAGATTAGGGAAAGGTGAGGATTGGATCAGTGAATTAGAAGACAGGGTAGGGAAAAAAATCACTCAATAAAAGAACCGAAAAGAAAAAAAAAACCAATTAAAAAACAGGAAAAGAGCGTAAGAGAGCTGTGGGGCAACATGAAATATAATGATATTCACATACTAGGTGTGCCAGAGGGGAAGAAAGGGAGCAAGGATCAAGAACATGTTTGAAGGAATAATGGCAGAAAACTTCCCTAATCTGGTGAAGGAAAAAGTCATACAAATTCAGGAAGCACAGAGAGTCCCAAGCAAGAAGAACCCAAACAGGCCCATGCACAGACACATCATATAAAATGCCAAAAATTAAAGAAAAAGAGAGAATCTTAAAGGCAGCAAGAGAAAAGCAATTTGTTACCTACAAAGGAACTCACCTAAGGCTGTCAGCTGATTTTTCATCAGAAACTCTACAGGCCAGAGGGAATGGCATGAAGTATTCAAGGTAATGAAAAGCAAAGGTCTGAAACCAAGATTACTATATGCAGCAAGGCTTTCATTCAAAATAGACAGTGAAATAAAGAGCTTCCTAGACAAAAACAAAAAGGCTAAAGGGTTTTTTACTACTAAACCAGCATTGCAACTGTTAAAGGGACTGCTGTAATGAGAAGAAATAGAGAGAGAAACATAGGCACACAGAATTAAAATGGCAATAAGTACCTATCAACAATAACCTTAAATATAAATGGATTAAATGCCCCAATCAAAAGATATAAGGTAGCTGAATGGATACAAAAACATAACCCAATTATATGCTGTCTACAAGAGACCCATCTCAGAACAAAAGACTCACACAGAATAAGAGTGAAGGAATGGGAAAAAAATTTTCTAGACAAATGGAAATTAAAAAATACCTAGGGTAGCAATACTCATATCTGACAAAATAGACTTCAAAATGAAGGCAACACACGAGACAACAAAGGTCATTACATAATACTAAAGGGATCGATCCCACAAGAGGCTATAACCCTGGTAAACATATATGCACCCAATATAGGAGCACCTAAATATATTTTAAAGACTTCTAGAGACTTTAAGGCAGTGGTTCTCAACCTTCCTAATGTCACGACCCTTTAATACAGTTCCTCATGTTGTGGTGACCCCTAACCATAAAATTATTTTCGTTGCTACTTCATAACTATAATTTTGCTACTGTTATGAGTCATAATGTAAATATCTGGTATGCAGGATGTATTTTCATTGTTACAAATTGAACATAATTAAAGCACAGTGATTAATTACAAAAACAATATGTGATTTTCGATGGTCTTAGGCGACCCCTGTGAAGGGGTCGCGACCCACAGGTTGAGAACCGATGCTTTAAGGGAAAGATCAATAGCAATACAGTCATAGTGGGGGACTTTAACACCCTGCTGACTTCACTGGATAGATCTTCCAGATCAATGAAACCAAGAGCTGGTTCTTTGAAAAGGTAAATAAGATTGATGAAACATTAGCCAGATTCATCAAGAAACAAAAAGAGGGGACCCAAGTAAATAAAATCAGAAATGAAAGCGGAGAAATAACAACTAAGTCCTAGGTTTGGCTCAGTGGGTAGAGTGTTGGCCTGTGGATGAAAAGGTCCCAGGTTTGATTCTGGTCAAGGGCTCTTACCTTGGTTGAAGGCTCCTCCCCAGCCCAGACCCTGGTAGAGGCTCATATAGGAGGCAACCAATCAATATGTTTCTCTCACATCGATGTTTCTCTCTGTCTTTCCCTCTCTCTTTCATTCTCCCTAAAAAAAAAAAAAAAAAAAAAAAAAAAAATCAATGAAAAAATATCCTCAGGTTAGGATTAACAGAAAAACAAAAAAAAAAGAAATAACAACAAACACCACAGAAATACAAAGGGTTGTAAGAAAATACTATGAACAACTATATGCCAACAAGCTGGACAATGTGGAGGAAATGAACATATTCCTAGAAAAATACAATCTCCCAAAACTGAATCAGGAAGTATTTGAAAACCTGAATAGGCCAATAACAACTGATGAAATAGAAGCAGTAATCATAAAACTCCCAGCAAACAAAAGCCCTGGTTCAAACTTCACAGGGGAGTTTTACCAAACATTCAAAGAACTAACACCTATACTCCTCAAACTATTAAAAAAAAAAAAAAAATCCAAGAAGAAGAAACACTTCCAAGCTCTTTTTATGAGGCCAGCATTATCCTAATTCCAAAACCAGACAAAGACACTACAAAGAAAGAGAATTATAGGACAATATCCTGATAAACATAGATGCTAAAATCCTTTGCATTCTACCTATAGTAATGGAGAATTAGCAGAATTCTGTTATCTGCCAGGGCAAGACTTGAAGCCAAAATATCCCATTTTAGAGATAAACACAAAAAAAATGTTCCAAGACAGTTGTCCACAGCTTGCTCCGTGCCTTCTCTGCAAACCTCCAACCATCTGCTGGGCTCCATGCAGAGACACAGTGTGGTGGTCAGTCAGCCCAACAAGGGGAACTCATGTCAAGACCATCTTTATAACTCTTTGAGTCAGAAAGGAATCAGCGCTAAATCTCAGCCTTATAACAGGTCCTCATCTTCCTCCATCTTAGTAAACAAGTCAGTGGACTCCATCAACTACCCTAATGAAATGGGAAGGAAACAGCTGTTGTCTTTACACAGCAGTTCAAGGTGTGAGAGTCACCAGGATTTGCTGCCAGGTATAGGTGACTCATGTCAACAGGGTATTGGAAAACGCTCAGATCTCACTCTCCAAGACTCACAGAAAGTTCTGGTAGTAAATAGAAATTTGCCCTTAAATGCCCAAATAGCTACACAGAACTATTTTTCCAATTTCAAAGAGACTAAAGGAGACGAAGATGACTATGTGGAAATAAAGTCAGAAGATGAGTCAGAGTTAGAGCTATCTCACAATCGTAGAAAGGAATCTGACCCAAAGATTGTGGATGCGGGCTTTTCTGATAATGTCAGCAGCAACAACACGTCTTACTCTTTGGATAGTCCATGCACTCCCAAAAAGCCAGTGAGCGGCAAACTTGGGGTTTCACCCTATCTGACACCGTAGGATGATTCTGACAAACTGAATGACTATCTTTGGAGAGGCCCATCTCCCAATCAGCAAACATTGTCCAGAGTCTAAGGGGAAAATTCCAGTGTCTTAGTTCTAGCAGCTTTGCCTAAGGTTCTTAATAGCAGCTGCCCTAATTAACTTCCTCATATGCTCATGAATTACAGATCCTGAGGTATGTTTTATATGTACCAGATTAAAACAATTTTGTGATTTTAAAAAATTAAATACGGAAATGCCATTTGACCCAGTGATTCCACTTCTAGTGGATTATATCCTAAGAAACCAGAAACACCAATCAGAAAGAACATGTGCACCTCTATGTTCATAACAGCACAATTTACAATAGTTAAGGTCTGGAAACAGCCCAAGGGCCCATCAGTAGACAAGTGGATAAAAAAGCTGTGGTACATTTACATCATGGAATACTATGTGGCAATAAAAATAGAAGGATCTCTTACCCTTTGGGACAGCATGGAGGGACCTGGAGAGTATTATGCTAAGTGAAATAAGCCAGACAGAGAAAGACAAGTATTACATGATCTCACTCATATGTGGAATCCAGTGAACAAAATAAACTGATGAACAAAACAGATCCAGAGACATAGAAGCATAGAACAGACTGCAGAGCCTCAGAGGGAAGTCAGGGGAGGGTGGGTGGGTGGATGGGAAGAGATCAAGCAACTTGTGCACATTTATGCATAAACCATGGACACAGACAATAGGGTGGTGAAAGCCTGGGGCAGGTAGTGGGCGCGGCTAAAAGGGGTCAATGGGGGGAAAGGGAGACATATGTAATACTTTCAACAATAAAGATTTAATTTTTAAAAAAATATTAATAAAATGGAAATATTTTTTAAAAGAGAACAAATAGAAATGTTGGCTTGACTCCTCTAAAGGAAGACACAAGACTGGACCCTGTTTTCATTTCTCTGAAGTTGGTGAGGAGTCAGCCTATGTGTCAGTCCACACAGTGCTCAGTTTGGTGTGTGGTGTGGCGTTTGTGGAGTGTGGTATGTGTTATGTTGAGAATGTGCATGGTGTTTTATAAGTGTATGTGGTACTAGTATGTGTGGTGAATACATGTGATGTGTGTGGTGTGGTGTGTGTGTGTGCGCCATGTGGTATGTGTGCTGTGCTATCAATGTGTGTGTTGTTATGTGCTGTGTTGTAAATATATTTGACATATGGTGTGTATATATGTGCAATGTGATGTGTTTTTGTATGTATAGTGGGGGGGTTGGTAGATGTGGTATGTGTGTGTAGGGTGATGTGTGTATGTACAATGTGAAGTGTGTATGTATAATGTAATGTATATGTATAGTGTAGTGTGTATATGTATAATGTGGGGTATGTGTATGTGTAGTGTGGTCTGTGTGTATATAATGTAGAGGGGTGTATGTATAGGGTGGTATGTATGTCTATAGTGTGTGGCGTGTGTATGTATAGTGTGGGTGTGGGGTGTTTGTTTTGTGGGGGGGTGTATTGTAGGGTGATATGTGTATGAATAGTGTGGGTGTGTATGTATAGTGTGGTGTGTGGTATGTGTTTGTATAGTGTGAGTGTGTGTATATTGTATGGTGTGTGTATGTATCATGTGTAGTGTCGGGGGGGGGAGGTGGACTTCAACTTCAGGGGGCACCACCAGTTCCTCTAGGGCTCTCTGGCAGACAGAGGCCCAGCCTAGCTCAGTCAAAGCTGAGCTTTTCTCCTCAGAACTCAGTCTTCCCTTTGTACCCAGGTGTCAGGAAGAGCGGGCCGGGCTGCAGGCAGCGCTGGAGCAGAGGCAGCAGGAGGCTGAAAGGAGGGATGCCATGTATGAGGAGGAGCTTGCAGGGCAGCGGGACCTGATCCATGCCATGAAGAGGCGGGTGCTGGAACTGATTCAGTAAGTGGGGGACAGTGGGCAGGAGTGCAGATGGGAAATGGTATGGGATATAGAGGCTGGGAAATGAAAATTCTGCTCCACTAACAACTACCAAGCAGGATTCTGGGCCTTTTGTATATACTAATTCATTTCCTTTTTTTTTTTTTTTTTTTTTTTTAAGCAACGACCTGCTATTTTTACCATTTTACAAACTGAGGGTCAGAGAGGTTCACTTGGCCACCAAGGACACATAGCATATAAACTGCATAGAGTCCTCTGACTCTAAGGCATGCCCTCCACCCCAACCCAGCCCACATATACACATACCTACTAAAGTTAGGAGAAGCAAAGGAACCCATGGGCTGAGAAGGAATTGGGAGAAGGGGCAGGTTAACCAAGAGGTAATCGCATGTCCTACATCAGCCTGCCCACTGGACTTCCTCAGATCACTGGGCCTGTGGGCCTGTCCAGGTCAGCTGTCCTACGTTCCAAAGGCTGAGCTCACCAGAATCAATTCCAAGCTGCTAAGCTCACTGAGGGATGGAGATGTGTAAAGCCTGGTCTCTGCTCTTCGGTCTAGTGGGGAGATAATTCAAAGGTGTGTCATCCTTTACCCAGTTCAGACCACTACGCTCAGGTTCCATTAGAATTGGAACTCTGCAAGATCATCTAAGACTAAATCCTCTTGCACAAAATCCAAGTGATAATAAAGGTGAAAAAAGGAGAGATGAACCTGAAAGGAACAAACAAAAAATTTAAGGAGTGATCCCCTCCAAGGAACTGTCAACTGGGTGGAAGGGGTATATAAAAATTTAGCTATATATCTCACAAAAGAATTTAAGTTCTCTAACAATAAAAGGTACATATAGAGCAAGATATATGATTATTAAAGGAAAATAGAAGATTTCATGGTAGAAGAAAAATATATACTCCCAAAGTGTTCAGAGTAGGATTAAAACTTAGTTCTGAGCATCTTGACAGCAGAATAAAAAAGGGAAACACAGAAAATTGCCTAAAATTCACTGGGGGCTGGCCAGTGGGAGGGACCGTGGGCCGTTGGCCAGTCAGCCCCACCCCCTAGTTAAACTCCTGGTCAAACTCCCAGTCTAGGGGACAATTTGCATATTAGTCTTTTATTATATAGGACAATGTCCCTTGCATAAGCATTTTGGGAGATATGGCCCTAAGTAAAAAGTGGGGGGAGGGAAGAGGAGCCAAGGAGGTTGACTTGTGCCTCAAGATGCTAGACCGACCACACATCATCTATTCTCTCCATCCTCAGATCTCACTAAAATGATTGTGAAAGAATAAAACTACCAACAGAGAGAAAGGTGGAGGAGCCAACCAGAGATGAGAGATTCCAGCTGACTTCCAGAAGCCAAAAAATGGATGGAGAAGCCCAGTTAGAACTTCAGGGCCCAGAGACACCAGGAACACATACGGCAGAAGTGAGATGAGGTGCAGAAATCAGGGAAATTAACTGAAGAAGTGGATAGAAAGACCAATGTACACCTCCTGCTTTCTGCCTGTCTCCCCAACTGCACAACACCCAACAGTTGACGGGCTTATCTGCCAAGCAAATAATTCAAAGGTCCTTATCTGGAGAAAGGTAGATGCCCCAAATAAAAGAGCAGTGTGTTCTGGCTTTTGAGAGACCCATGTGGCAGGTACCTCCCAGCCCAGTGCATCCTAAAGGGAAGCCCGAGTCAACCACCCCAACCCATTACTTGGAGCTCCAGCAGCCTTACTGCCTCTTCTTAAATGTGAAATGGCAACCAACCTTTCGTAAGCATTTGAGTAAGAAGGGAGAGACAAAGATAAACAAAGAAAGTTCCATCTCCCATGAAACAAGAGGCTGTGAAAAGCGACCACCCAAAGATGAGAAACATTCTTGGAAATTAAAATATCACTGAAATTTTTCTCAATTCACTAGGATTGGAAGAGAAAGATGAGTCAATCTCTCAGAAAGTAGAATAAAAAGCATAGAGAGATGGGACATATGAGAGAAATATTTAGAGACATAAAGAATCAATCCAGGAGTTCTAATATCTTCTCCAACTGAAAGGAATTCGAGAGAGAGGGAGTGGGAGAGGGAGAGGGAGAGGGAGAGGGAGAGGGAGAGAGGGAGAGGGAAAGGAAGAGAGAAGAAAATAGAGAAGACTATCAGATAAAAATGTGAGAGACTTTCCCAGTTCTAATGGACATAGATCTTAAAGATTTCATTGAGTGATCAGCACAATGAATGAAAAAGGTGGTGGGCACATCTAGATATATCATTGTGAAATTTCAGTAAAACAAAGATAGGAAGACTATCCTAAAAGACAGGCCACTTATGAAAGAAATAGAACACAACAAATTTTAAGAATCAATGGTGTAATACTTTTAAGTTCTGAAAAAAAGCTGAGTTTTGCCCTAGAATTCTATGTCCAGCTAAACTATGGAGCAAGTGGGGAAGGTGATAGAGGAAAAGACATTCTCAGACAGACAGATCACAGAAAAGTCACCTCCCACACAGCCTTTCTTAAGAAGATAATTCAGGATGTGTCCCAGAAAAACAAGGAAGCAAGCCAAGAAAGGAGAAGATGTGGAATTCAGGAGACAGTAGCTCTAGGCCAGGAGAGAACAAAAGGGAATTCCCAACATGACTAGTGGGCAGCAAGGCCGGGAAGCAGTCAGTCCAGGCTGAAGCAGAATTATTGCAGGCCCAGGAGGAAGGTCTCAGGGGAAAAAGAGAATCAGCAAAATACCTGATATGAAGAATTGGGGTGGGCAAGAATAATTAGGCTAGTCTGTCCAGTGTGGTTCAGTGGTTGAGCATCGACCTATGAAGCCAGGAGAGCATGGTTCGATTCCCGGTCAGGGCACATTAAAGATTTCATTGAGTGATCAGCACAATGAATGAAAAAGGTGGTGGGCACATCTAGATATATCATTGTGAAATTTCAGTAAAACAAAGATAGGAAGACTAGATCCCCAGTTGCAGGCTAGATCCCCAGTGTGGGTCATGCAGGAGGCAGACAGTTAATGATTCTCTATCATTGATGTTTCTATATCTCTCTCCCTATCCCTTGCTCTCTGAAATCAATAAAAATATATTTTAAAAAATAGTAATAATAATTAGGCTATGTTAAGGCAAATTATGCAAGGAAAAAAGAAAGGCAATTAGACACAGTGCAATATACAGATGATGTCTCATAGAATTGTTCACTAGAAGCTTATATAATTGTATTAACCAATATCACCTTAATAAATGTAATTTTGAAAAATAAAATAAAACTCTGTAAAAGAAAGGCAATTAGAAAGTCCTAGAAAAACAACAAATTCCCAAGAAGGGAAATATCATAGAACAAAACTCTGCTTGAAGCAATATGCTTACATATTGTCTAATAATATAAATACTAGTCACTGATTTTTTCACCAAAGCCCAAAAAATGATTATAATTATACAACAAATATAAATGTTACCACCTAAACAATATTATAGAACAGAATTCAATAGAACTTTCTATATAGATGGAAGTGTTCTATATTTGTCCTGCCCAATATGGTAGCTACTAATCGCATATAGTGATTGAGTACTTCAAATGTGACTGGTGTGACTGAGGAACTAAAGTTTTCATTTTATTCTAGTTTAATTAACTTACATATAAATTTACAAAACCACAGGTGGCTGATGGCTATCCTACTGGACATTGCAGGAATAGATGACAAGTTAGGAGGTGGGAGGAAAAAGGGATGCTGGCATCACTGTATTACAGAATGGCAATCCTAAGATACTACCTATAGTTAATAGAATGAGTGAGAAATAAATGTGTGAGACTATTCAGTAGAAGTCCAGTAGTAACCAATAGAGGAACCAAAAACAGGGATATAACTACATGGGGAAGAAGGATGAGGATTTAATGAAAATGATCATAAGCTGTCCTCTGACATCAAGGTAAGGAGCTCTATAGAAGACGTTCTCTCTTGAAAGAGCAAGAAGGAGGGATATGAGCATGTTAATTAAATATGAAAGTACTATCAGGAGAAAGAGCTAAAAGATGTAAGTGGTTTGCCACAGAGAATGGGAAAGTGTCTATTGTCTGTGCTGTTCAATTTTTACATCATGGGCATGTATCATTCTGATAAAAATTTAAAACAACCCTCTTTCTTTCTTTTGATTTTTATTGGTTTCAGAGAGGAAGGGAGAGGAAGAGATAAAAACATAAATGATGAGAGAGAATCATTGATCAGCTGCCTCCTACACACACACACACACACATACACACACACACACACACACACACACACACACACACACACATACACACACCAACCCCGGGGATCAAGTTGCAACTCGGGCATGCGCCCTGACTTTTAATCAAACCGTGACCTCCTGGTTCATAGGTTAACACTCAACCACCAAGCTACACCAACCAGGCAAAACCACCCATCTTCTTAACACATCCTTTAAAAAAAAAAAAAAAAAAAAACAATGAAGATAGGTTTTGTGTTTTTTGGTTGTTGTTTTTTTTTTTGGGGGGGGGGAGGGCATAAACATCTATAACTCCAAAGCAGTTTGTACCAAGTGCCAAATAAAAGATCATAGGCATTATATGCTATAGGAGTCTGGAGCAAGAAAGCCCGGGGCCCTCTACTACCAGGGAGCACTCCTCCAAGGAGGCAGGCTGTGAACAGGTTCTTCAATAGTGGGTTAAGGTTATGATGGGCCACGGGGACCTATCACCATCCATCTAGTCTTCGAAAGACTGGAGTCTCACTCTTAGGTGTGTGAGTCTCTCACTGTCTTCATCTCTCTCCTCTCTCTCTCTCTCTCTTTCTCTCTCTCTCTCTCTTGCCATCACTATGTCTCTTTCTCTCCATCTTTCTCTATATTTGTCTCTCCCTCTTTGTCTGTGTCTTGGTCCCTGTCTGTCTCTGCATCTTTCTCCCTGTGTCTTTCTCCCACTGCATTTGTCTCTCTACTTCTCCATGTGTCTCTGTCTCCCTCTCCGACACCCTGACTCCCTTTCTCTCTGAGTGACTGTCTCCCTCTGTCCCTCTTTGTCTCCCTCCCTATTTCTGTGTTTGTCTTTTCGCCCCACTGTTTCTCCATCTCTTTTTGTCTCTGTCTCTCGATCTGTGCCATTTCCAACTCTCTATCTTTCTCTTTCTTTCTCTCTCTCTCTCTCTCTCTCTCTCTCTCTCTCTCTCTCTCTCTCTCCCCCTCCTCTCCCCCCCGCCCCCCCATCTACCCATCAGAGAGAAGGACAACCTGTGGCAGAAGGTGCAGCAACTCTCTTCCGTGGCCCCTGGATGCTGTGTCAGCTGTAGCAAGCTCTTTGGCCGGCTGTCTCGGCGGTATCCATGCAGGTAATGGGTGGGACAGCCCAGTTTCCACCAGCCCACAGTCCCCTGCCCACTCTGGGGAAGGGAGGGACACAGGAACTGGGCGTCTATGAAAGGCTACTTAAAGCTGGCCACTCATATTACCCAGAACTTAGCAGAGACATGAACGAGAACAACAGAGAAAGGTCAAACAGGATGGGCATCTGGAAGATGGAATGGTGCAATCTTTCTGAGAATAGACTGATTAATGGGCTTCTCATCTGGGAAAAGATTTCATGTACAGTGGAAGCTGCTCCCCTGGCCTCCCTCTGGGAACACAGTCCCAGGACAAGCAGCAGGAGAGAGGGGAAGTGAGCCATCGAGAGAACCTGCCATTTGGAATTAGAGGACCCTAAAGGAGTGGAGCATTGGGTCACCCTTTGGGAAAGGGGAGGCCTCCTGGGACAGAGCCAGGGCAGTTCTGCTAGGAAATGAGAGACAGACAGTTGGACTTAAAGATGCTCAAACCCCATGACCCCCTTCCCTATACACACCCATGTGCTCCCCACTCTTTCCGTCTTTGCTCCCAGGCTATGTGGAGGCCTGGTTTGCCATGCCTGCTCTCTGGATTATAAGAAGCAAGAGCGCCGCTGCCCACCCTGTGCCCAGAAAGGAGAAGCCCAGGTTGTCTAACCAAGACCCACTCAGGACTGGCCATCCATTCCACCCACCCCTCAGCACTTTCAGGACCTATGATCTGACCAATACTACCTTCCAGAACTTGGTGATTTAGGCAGACGGCACTTGAGGAGCCAGACTGTGGTGTGGAGAGTGGAAAAGGCCAGGCTGGCAGTCAGGAGACGGCTCAAGCCCTGCATCTCCCACTGATGAGCAGGGCGACTCAGCTCTGCAAGCTCTTCTGTAACGTGAGGAAGTCGGGCGTCATCCACTCTAAAGTCCCTTTGGCTTCAGATAATCCTTGACTAAGAATAAGACCCAATGGCCTTGACTTTCTCCTCCACACTCCCTGCTCACCCAGACTGCCCTTCACCACACTGCACTGTCTCCGGTCCTCAGGAGCTTCCTGTCTGGAGTCTGCTTCGGGCTCTGTTTTTGTCCCACTTTGTTTTTAACATCTTTCCTGAGGCACTACTAACATACAACACAATTCACATAAATTGTACAATTTGATGAGTTTTTACTTTAATTTATACCCATGAAGTCACCACCATATTCAAAATAATGAATACATCCATTAGTGCCAAAGTTTTCTCCTGCCCTTTGGAATCTCTCCATCCCCCTCCCTTTGCCCCACCCCTAAATAACTACTTACCTGCCTTCACTAAAGACAAGTTTGCATTTCCTAGAATTTTATATAAATGGAATCATATGGTCTGCCTTCTTTCACTCAGCATAATTATTTTAATATTCATTCACATTGTTGTTCATACCCACAGTTCCTTTATTTACTGTTGAGTAGTATTCCACTGCCTGGATATAGCACCATCTGTTCACACATTTACCTGTTGCCAGACATTTGGGTTGTTTCTAATTTGAAGCTATTACAGATCAGCTTCCTATAATCATCGAATCTTTGTGTAGACATATGCCTGTATTTCTCATGGGTTAATACCTAAGAATGAAATGGTCAGGTCATATGGCAGGTATATGTTTAAGAAACTGCTGAGTTATTTCCCATAAAGATTATATGTTGTACCATCCCACCAGCAGGGTGTGGGCGTCCCAGCTGCTCCCCAGGGCATTTGGTTTGGGGGGCAGGAGAAGAGACATAGACATGGAACTTGGGCCTCTCTGTTCTTCCCTTCCAACCACTGTGGTGAAGTAAACAGTCCCAAGTTGTGAGGCTAGAGGGAGGGGCTAAGTCTAGGTGACTCTGCAGTGCTCACTCACTAGATTTTAATAAAGACAGTTAAGGATTCGTGTAGCTCTGTGGTACAAGTTATATCCTCTGACTGTCCAAGAAGTCTTACACAACTCGTTTCATTCACTGGGCACCCATTTGTGGTGTTTCCGAAAATACTGTTTCTGAAGAAGCATGGACCCCACTCTGTAACAGGGCAGACTCTCTTGCCCCGAGCAGGCATGCAGGCTGTCCCCTGCCTCACAGGACTGCCACAGCCTCTGCAGCAGTTGGGCAACTCTGTGGCTCTGACCAGAGCCTGTGGACCGCCTCTTGGGGTCAGGGCCACCTAGAGTTGCATCCCATTACCATCTTGTGGAGCAACAGTTTTGCAACAGCAGTTCCTGCCCTGGAGAGCTGATGAGAACTTCTCCTTAGCAGGGTCAGCAACAAGGTGGGCGGGGGAGGGTCAGGGAATGGAGGGAGGGAAGGGTTGAGGCGGGCAGAGCTGGGACTCCCAGCGCAATTAGGTCAAAAGAATCAGCATGCCTTCCTAGAGGTCACACTTGCTCAGATACTTCTATTAGAGCATGGAGTTCAGACCCGCCTGGTGAACTAATGGGGTAGAGAAGACCTAGCAGAAAAGCCTAAATTCAAAGCAGAAGCAAGATGCTCCTGGATGAGAACTCAACAGGAGGAAATCAGGGGCCAAGAATGGGAGAAAAGTCCCCCTGGTTGGGAGTGATGGAGGGCAATGCTGGGAACCAGCCTCTAGCTTAACACTACTCCCCAGAGGGTCCCCTGTGCTCACAGGCTGGGGGTGCCCCAGGCGACAATTATTTCTTTAACTAGAGGTGCAGTGCAAGAAATTTGTGCACTCGGGGAGAGGGGCATCCCTCAGCCCAACCTGCGCCCTCTCATATTCTGGGAGCCCTCAGGAAATGTCCAACTGATGGCTTAGGCCAGCCATGGGCAAACTACGGCCCGCGGGCCGGATCCGGCCCGTTTGAAATGAATAAAATTAAAAAAAAAAAAAAAAAGACCGTACCCTTTTATGTAATGATGTTTACTTTGAATTTATATTAGTTCACACAAACACTCCATCCGGTCCAGTTTAAGAACCCATTGTGGCCCTCAAGTCAAAAAGTTTGCCCACCCCTGGCTTAGGCCCACTCCCTGTGAGCCTGGCTTTTGGTTGAGCAGCACTCCCCCTGTGGGAGTGCGCTGAAAACCAGGGGGCAGCTCCTCCATTGAGTGTCTTCCCCCTGGTGGTCAGTGTGTGTCATAGTGACCAGTCGTTCTGCCATTTGGTCGATTTGCATATTAGCCTTTTATTATATAGGATTGGATGTCACTCAGAAGTTCCAACATACATCAGTTTCCCCACTTTGTCAATCCATTCAGTGCTCAAGATTGTATTTTACACCTAGGATATGCCAAACACTGATTGGTTTGGGGATACAGAGATTATACACACACACACACACACACACACACACACACACACACACTAGGGGCCCACTGCACGAATTCATGCACCTTGAAAGAAACTGTGGGCCACGAGGCTGCAGTGGGCATAGGGGCAGGTCTCAGCCCATTTTCTGCACCCCCATCCGGCCCCTCCCATCACAGCCCCCAGTCCCCTGTCTGCCGGCAGCCCCGCTCCCGCTGCCACCATTTCCACATGCTGACAGTGCCAGCCCCACTTGCACCCACTGACAGCACAGAGCAATTAGGGCCAGCGCCAGCAGCCAGTGCAGGCAGGGCCAGTGCTGTCAGCAGGTGCAAGCGGCAGCTGCTGCCCCGATCGCCCCTCAGGAGCAGGGGGAGGTGGAGAAGCCCTGAGAGGTGACTGGGGCCGGCAGCCGCTGCTCACACCCACTGATGGTGCCGAGCGATCGTGGCCAGTGCCAGGCGCCAGCAGCAGATGCAAGCACTGGGTGGGACCGTGGTGCGTGGGAGCAAAGAATTTTCAGTAACCACCAGAGGCTTGCCCCAATGACAGCAACCAGCACCCCGCCATGGTCTGGTGCCCCTGCTCACCTGCTCCACCATGTTCCACACGCACCCCCTGGTGGTCAGCACACATCACAGTCACCAGTTGTTCGGTTGTTCAGTTGTTCCACCATTCGGTCTATTTGCATATTAGCCTTTTTTTTTTTAATTAAATCTTTATTGTTCAGATTATTACATTTGTTCCTCTTTTTTTCCCCCATAACTCCCCTCCTCCCAGTTCCCGCCCCACCCTCCACCCTCACTCCCCACCCACTGTCCTCATCCATAGGTGCACGATTTTTGTCCAGTCTCTTCCCGCATCTCCCACACCCCTTTCCCCCCAAGAATAGTCAGTCCATTCCCTTTCTATGTCCCTGATTCTATTATAATCACCAGTTCATTCTGTTCATCAGATTATTTATTCACTTGATTCTTAGATTCACTTGTTGATAGATGCATATTTGTTGTTCATAATTTGTATTTTTACCTTTTTCTTCCTCTTCCTCTTCTTAAAGGATACCTTTCAGCATTTCATATAATCCTGGTTTGGTGGTGATGAACTCCTTTAGCTTTTCCTTATCTGTGAAGCTCTTTATCTGACCTTCAATTCTGAATGATAGTTTTGCTGGATAAAGTAATCTTGGTTGTAGGTTCTTGGTATTCATCACTTTGAATATTTCTTGCCACTCCCTTCTGGCCTGCAAAGTTTCTGTTGAGAAATCAGCTGACAGTCGTATGGGTATTCCCTTGTAGGTAACTGAGTTTCTTTCTCTTGCTGCTTTTAAGATTCTCTCTTTGTCTTTTGCTCTTGGCATTTTAATTATGATGTGTCTTGGTGTGGTCCTCTTTGGATTCCTTTTGTTTGGGGTTCTCCGCGCTTCTTGGACCTGTAAGTCCATTTCTTTCACCAGGTGGGGGAAGTTTTCTGTCATTATTTCTTCAAATAGGTTTTCAATATCTTGCTCTCTCTCATCTTCTGGCACCCCTATAATTCTGATGTTGGTACGCTTGAAGCTGTCCCAGAGGCTCCTTACACTATCCTCGCATTTTTGGATTCTTTTTTCATTCCGCCCCTCCGGTTGGGTGTTTTTTGCTTCCTCGCAATTCAAATCATTGACTTGATTCTTGCGCTCCTCTGGTCTGCTGTTGGGAGTCTGTATAGTATTCTTTATTTCAGTTGGTGTATGCTTAATTTCTAGTTGGTTCCCCATCATAACATCGAGGGTCTCATTAGTTTTCTTGTAGATCTCATTAAGTTTATCGGCGGCTTCTAAACAGTTCTTGAGAGACCTTAAAAGTGTGGTTCTGAACTCTATATCTTCCATTGACAATTTTGTCCTGTTTCTTTGTCTCCACATTTTGTTATGCTTTCTTGGTGCACCCCCTAGTGGTCTTTGTGCGCAGTCTTGTAGTTAAGCCTTGATTGTTGTAGCTAATAACAGGGAGGGTTTGACCTCCAGGCCAAGTGGCTGTGAGAATCAGCTGTGTCTGCAGTGAGAGAACTTCTGTCCTCTAGGGAGGTGCTAATCTAGCCTTTGCCTGAGGCTATCCGGCAAATGCCTCTGTGCAGGGCTTGGGCGGGGCGGGTCGCACAGGATCAACAGGGTGGGCCAGAGAGAGTAGTTATGGTGGCTCTCAGTCCTGTCCCCAGGGGCTCTGCCTCTCTGAGTCCCAGCACCCGCTGCAAACCTCGGAGAGAAAGCTGAACTCGCTCTGACCGAAGCCAGACAGTCCCGCTTCTCCCGTTTGAGTCTGGGTCCCTAAAGACTCGCCTGTATCTGGAGCTCAGAGTCTGCGACTCCCTCCCGATTGAAAACGCCAACCGCGCCTTCCGCCGCCAGCCCGCTCCGCGCACTCTGCACCTCAGAATTTGACTTCAGCACTGCGCCTCCTCTGAGTGTCCGTATGCGTTTCTCTTTCCTCCTAGTTGTAGGACTTCCACTCAGCCAGTGTTCCTGTGGTTCTGGGTGATGTCCAGTTTCACTTTTGAAGTAGTTGTTCAAGGCAGCAAACTCCGGCATTAACCTATGCCGCCATCTTGGTTCTCCGTCAGCCTTTTATTATATAGGATTATACCTACTTTCACAAACCTCACAGTGGGGAGTCGAAAGCAGCCAAAGAGATGATTACAAAGCCTTGTAATTGAAGACATGATAGAGGAAACCCAGGTGTGCTGTCTATGGAGGCGACTACTGGGCTGGATTTGAAAGGAAAGGGGGAGTTGGCTAGACCTAGAGCGTGGGAAGAGCATGCCAGGGGAGGAAAATGCATTCCGGTCCCTGAGGAGGAACCAAAATAGTTCCTAGGGGAAGTACAACTAGTTCCCTGTGGCTGAAGTTAAGGGTTCATGGAGGTGTGGCCTGAAATGAGACTGGAGAAGCAACCCAGGGATCAGATGCAGGAGCACCAGGTACACAAGACAGGATTTTTACGCTGAGGGTAATGGGGGGGTCCTTAATTTAGAGAGATCATTCTGGTAGCAGAGTGGAGGGTGAATTGAGGGGGAAGACTTGAGGCAGAGAGCACTTAGGAGAATAGTGGTAGTAACAGTAGCAGCAGCAGCAACAGCCAATACTACCAAGCACCATTTTAAGTGCTTCACACATGTAGACTCATTGAATCCACAGGACAGTAGGTGCCCTCATTATCCCCCTAGTACAGATGATGAAACTGAGACCTCATGAGATTAAATATTTGCCCAAGGTCTACAACCAGTAAGTGACATGGCTGGTATCCTAACTCAAACAGCCCGGCTGTGGAATCCACAGTTATTGCCTGACTATTTTTTAATATATTTTTATTGATTTCAGAGAGAGGAAGAGAAAGGGAGAGAGAGATAGAAACATCAATGATGAGAGAATTATTGATCGGCTGCCTCCTGCACATCCCACACTGGGGATCAAGCCCACAACCCAGGCATATATGTGCCCTGACCGGGAGTCGAACCATGACCTCCTGGTTCATCGGTCAACACTCAACTGCTGAGCCATGCAACCTGGACTATCACCTGACTATAGCAGTAGCTTCAGGGAGAATGAAGTGTTGCCTAACCCTGCCAGAGAAGATGGTGAGGAGAAGATAACTAAGAGATGTTAAGGAGAGAAAGAGGGAGGGGAGTGTGAGACGTGGGGACAGGCATGGATGAGAGGGAGCTCTGGAGGAGAAGCACGTGTGAGTTTGCATCTGTGGAACCTTAGGGAAGATTTTATGAAGTAAGTGCATGTAAGAGTTTGAGCTGAGGAGAGAGCTTCGAAGAGAGGTTGGGAATTATAGGTATGAGAGACACTGACGAATTGGGTGGTCGCCAAAGCCAAGGAAGGAGGTGGGCTGGCCTAGGGAGAGCAGGTAGAGAAGAGGAACATCTGATTTCAGGAACGAATTGAGAATAAAGTAACAAATGAAACTAAGAGAGGTTCAGGAGAAAGAAGAGAATGGGGTCAGTGGGATTAAG